CGTCCTTTCTCTCAGATACCCTATGAAACTAATTTCTCCATCCCTTAGGCATTTTGGGCCATTTTGAGGATAGATCCACTGCAGACTGTTTGAAGGGGATTTGGTTAGTTTCTTGACGAATAAAATCAGATGGATCCAAATCACCCATAGGCCCAAGAAAATAAACGTTGGAAGCAACAACTGATGGAATTAAGATTTCGTTCCTCATCTCCTAGAAATCGGATGAAATAAATTTGAGAACAGAGGAGCTACAGGGTAGCAACCGATGCTTTGAGAATGGGAACTTGAAAACATACATCAGGAACATGGTAGTTGGTCGCCATTGCAGCCGAAGTAGATTTGAATCTAAGGAGAACCGCTTGAATAAAATTCGATAGGGCCGAAAGCTTGCTAGGGTTAAGACTTTGGCGATGGCGGAGTCGGCTGTTAAGATTTGCTCGAAAAAGAAGGGGAAAGCAAGAGGGCCGAGTGAGTTGGAAAAGATACCATTAGCATGTTATATAAGGCTCGGGCCGGGAAGTCAGGAATCCCGCGCATATCTCGGAACCAAACGGTTGCGGCGTGATAAATGGATAGATAAGAATTTTGGAATAAATTATTTTTATCCCAAAATTAGGGGGCATGTGTTTACACCAAAAATTGGAGAAGAACGCGGGAACTCGAAGCTTCTAGAATTGTGTCGATCAAGGACTCGATTGCATGAAGGATCGATATCAGCTGATTCAGAGGAGACAATGGAATCGGCTCTCTTTGAATGACGTCAACAGATAACGATGATGGACTACGGTTGGCGTCGGGAAATACATATAGGACTCTACAAAAAGGAAAAGATTAGGGTCCAAGGTATCTTAAGTTAGAAATGTTCGCTTTTATACCAAAGATTGTAATGAGTCGTACCTGAGTAGAATTCATGTTTAAGCTCCGGGTATAAATATTGGACCCCGGCTATTGTAAAGGACACACAATCAATCAAATACAAGTTACTTGCTTTTTTGGCTCTGGCCACCTCATAGGAGTAGGAGTAGAGTAGATCTCGACGAGTTCTTCAGCGAGCAGGGCTGCATCGGTCCGGCCGACCTCCGGTATGTCTGTAAGTACCGTCATGGTTTATACTTCTGTTCGTACGGCTGCATCGATCCGGTCGACCTCCACTGCGACTCTGGTATAAGTTAGTTATCGACTCTTGTCTAGTTCAAGTACGGCTGCATCGATCTGGTTGACCTCCACTGCTCGAACTAGATTAAATTCAAGTTATCGGCTCTATCTAAGAGTGACGTCATTCGGATAGATTCATTAAGTTACCGATCTTGCTGATATTTTCATTGTCATTAGTTTACAGCAACATCAATTCGCCCGGTCGAGATCAAATTAGATCGGCCTCATATCCTTTAGATCCGTCGTTCGTTTTTTTACAACATGATATTATCTACCTTGAACGACGGCTTATGTTTCATTGGCTATTTTATTTCGATCTTGATCGTACATAGTACACGGTTAAGGCATGCATAATCTTGAAGAGGTCTGCTGGCTAGTTGAATTTAGTTTATAGTTCACCATTATGACTGTAACGATCCGGTCGATCTCCACTGATGGCACTGTAGATTGGAGGATGCTAGTTAGTAGATTTGTTCCTGGTTAGGCATGACCTTAGCTATTTGCTATGCCCGCATCGGCTAAATAGCCGATCGCCTGTGCGTTAACGCCTACAACAAGTTTACATGATTCCGTTAAGCGTGAGTAGATCTGTGTACTTTAAGGGCTTGATTCGTCGTCTTTTTTACGGCTGCATCGATCCGATCGAACCCAACTGTTAGAGATAGCAGGTTAAGTCTAAGAAGTCCATATGTCTGTTCATATGAAATAGTCGATTGTTTACACGCTATAGTTCTCTTCACCTGAATTAGCTATTTTCGTCGATTCATCCGAGTCTTCACGTATAACATGTCTTTCGGAAAGCCTGTCGAAGTACGGATGTCTTTACGAATTCTTCGGTTTTAGTTTGTTATTATCATCATAGCTGTCATCGATCCGGTCGAACCTCACTATTGGTGGTAACAGATTAGATTCAGAGCGTCTGTAGATCCGTTCGTATTAGATAGTCGATTTATTCGCATGTTATATTTTTTTCTCATTAGATTTATCGGCTTAATAATTCATACTGATAATATCCACCTAGCTGATGATCTCATTTACATATACATGCACTGTTTCTGTCAACGTAAAATCAATCGCTACCAACGAGCTTTACAGTCCGTAACAGCCAATTTCTGTGCGGATCGGCTGTTCAGTCGCTATTCCTGTGTGGCTGCTCCCGAAGCGGCACATATGGAACTATCTGGGCACAGACCGGCATGTTCCACCTTAAATTATTGATAAACTCTCTCATTGTCAATTGCAGAGTCAAATTGACTGGCACGTCTCGGGAGGAGTACGCAGGACCGATCATCCCTGCGTTGAAGCTAGACGGATCTCCAGCTCCATCGAGCAGACCTTTCCGGTTTGCTCGTGTGCCCGGCATGATTGATACGTTTTCGTGCCGACAGTTTCATGCATTTCTGATTCCATGATATATTGGATTTAGTGCAATGCATTAAAATTTAATATAAAGGGTAAAACATAAATAGGTATGTATCATTTTCTATAAATAGTTGGTTTTATTTCTCCCATTGTAACGTACGAGCATATTTGCTAGTCTAGTCTGAAAAAACAAAAATAATGTAGGAGTAAAACTCTACCATACACTACTGTAAAGTCTATGACTAAAACTAAAAATTATAGACGTAGAAAAACATGCCTAAACGATACAATAGTAAATTATCTACAATATAATATACCATGATGCAATTTTTGAGAATTTAGGTCTTGAAAAATTGCCTATTTACACAAGGTAAAATTCTGCATCATAATTTATTTATACCTGAGGTCTAAATCGAGCATCTTTATGACGTATAAATGCAATATATTACAGAGCTATATTCAAGGCTAAACATAATAAAAACAGAAAAATACTTATGTAATTTACAGAAAAAAATTGTGCAAAAAGGCACAATCTTATCTCTTCCACATCCCACCACGGACGGTTTCCATCCAGCATCGCTCGGCCTCAGGGCTGCCGCCGCCGGGACTGGCAATGGGTCCGGCCGCGCTGCCGCCATGGTCGGGAGAGATTGCCGGGCGAGCAACCGCTGCCGTCGCCCCGGTCAGGAGAGCAGCCGCCGTCGTCGTGGTCGGTCAGGCGAGTAACCGCCTCTGCCATGGGCGGTCAGGCGTGCGAATCTCGCACCTGGCTTGGCGCGCGGCCCGGTCGCCATCCTTGCTCGTGGGTACCGTGGCCGGAGGACCGCTGCCATGGGCCCATGCGCAGCGGCAGGGAGGATGAGGTAGTCTTATGCTGGCACCGTCGCCGGCATGGCGTGCTAATGCCAACGCTGGTACGGTGTCCCGGCGCTGTCCTGCCACGCGAGCCTCGTGGCTGGCCTGGCGCGCAAGTACTGCCGCCCTGGTGGGCGAGCGCTGCCGCAGGCCTAGCGCGTGCGGGCACCGCCGCAGGCCTGGCGTGTGTTCCCACCGCATCGGGTCGGGTGCGCGACCAGCCTGTCGCGCGGCAGGCGCGCGGCGACCATTGCCGGCCTGGCATCGGGGCCGAATCGAAGCCTCCACCAGTCTCCGGCATCCCCGCTCGTGCAAGGGAAATTACGCACCCTTGTTGCCAACAAGGTCGATCCAAAGCCACGGGGAAGCCCTGTTCATTTAGCTGAAAAATTATGCTATATCTGATTTACTGTAAGAAAAAAATATTTTACTATAACTGACGGTTGATAAGTTTAAACGAATTGCAACTGCAAAAACTGAAGAACATATCGGTGTGTACCGTTCTTAAATTGAGGTCTTCATCCTCACGTTCTTACCAGTTTGCAGCATGCGTTAGTAGTTCTTGATCGTTGCAGAGAAGAGACACCGATGGAAATCGAAAGGCTTCCCATTCATCATTCATTCTTTTGGGCTTATTTGGCTGATAAAAAATATTGTTGGTTGATTTAGTGTGAGAAAAAAATACTATTCGTTGGCTGAAAAAGTACGATTTATAAGTCAAATAAGCCCAAACGAACATGGTGCTTCTCTTCTGGAACAACATCTATTTCTTTCTTTTTGCAACTTCTTCGGCGATCAACGTCTTCAGGGAACCGTTTGTCGGCCTTTCTTCTCAGGGAAGAATAACATGCGTGATCACATGTTAAGAGTAGAGAGAGCGAGACAGATCGATCGATGCAAAATGATGTCTGTATATTTTATTGAATAGTGTTATATATATATATATATATATATATATATATATATATATATATATATATATATATATATATAGAGCGCCTACAGGACAGTTTCAAGTGTGAAAGAGAGATGAAAAGACACCTCTTAGGATTATTTCCTAATTAATTATAAATAATAATTCTCAACATAAACAAAAGATAAAATTATCCCATCACTAAAATGTTAGGACGTACCAGCTCATCCTGCTTCAACGCTTTGACTAACCTGATTCGGGCCTTCCACAGTTCCACTTCCAAGGCCCAATATTCCTTCACGAGGCGCCTGTGAGTGCCCATTTCCAGCTCAGCTCAAGTTTGACTCGATACAATCCGGTCCCGTTTAACAACCTCGTAAGACTCCAGCGGGCCCACTTTTAGACTTTAGTGGCTTGGATTGGTTGGGCTCGTCGTGGCAGTAGCGCAAGACCGCTGGGAACTCCAAACCCCTCCTTTCCACGTCAGCCGGCCGTCCGCATCCTTCCTTCTCCATGCTTCCGCTGGCTTTCGTCCCCGTGACGACTTGTCAGCCGCACCAGTACACTCTTCTTCATCACCCGGAACTCCGGACGCCCGGAACGGCCTCACACGGCACACCGCACACGCATTGCTTGCTTGTCGTGCTGAGCCGCTCCACTCCTCTTCCCCCCGCTGCTCGCCTCTCGATTCCGCCTCATCGCGTCCGCGAACCCCATGTCCACTGCGACCGTGACCCTCGCCGCCGCGCGATCCCCGGGTGTCGCGCTTCTCAGCCTGCGCCGCCGCGCCCCCGCGGCTGCTCCCATTCGCTTCCCCGGTCTCCGCGTCGGCTCCGGTTGCCGTCACATCGCTATGGCTTCCGCGGCGCATGCCCGCGCCCCCACCGACCCGCTTCCTAAGGTACGACCTCGACGCAAGCACGCACGCTTTTGGTTTCTCCTAGGGCCCAGAACGCACTGTTTTTTTTTGAGACAGAAGGACGCACTGTTTCTTTTTGAGAGTGGAACGCACTGTTGTTAGCTTGTTATTGTCAGAGGGACTGTGATCTCAGATGTCAAATTGGCGAGGCATTAGACAGTACAATCAATTTCGTCGTACCATAGGTCAGCACCATGGAAGGATGTTGAGGGGGGCAGGCGACCAGACGGGTGCTTAATCGTTTTGCGTCTTCAGGAAAAAAAAATCCTTTCGAGGAAGTACCTTTTGGACTTAATTATAGCGGCTAGCAAAATACCATGCCTCAGGTGAGGCTTTTACTTTGGATGCCTTTGTATAATTTCACGGCAGTCTCTTGATTCCTGACTCTCATCACTTGGGGCGCAACAGTCAACTAGTCAATCAGCCATGTGGCGAAGTTGAGGCAATGCAATTTCTGCTGGGTGCACATGAATACGACTTAACTGAAGATGTAAATGAAGACTACAGTGTGTGTAGGCCTACTGTAATGGTGGAACACAAAACTTGGAATAATTTCATGATAAAAGGGGCATATAGCATGCTTGTTGTATCTGAATCTAATTCTTATTATCAACTGCAGTATATATGATGAATACACTTAATGCATGGCTTGCTCACTCTGATGTTTATATACTGTTCAAAACAGATAGTAGATGTGGCATAGGAAAAAAAATACTTATATGACAATAAAATAATTTCAGAATGTAAAGTAATTCCACTCTTTTCCTCCCACCTCTATGTATACCTTTTGTTTTGTCCATGATTTATGTTTTTTTTTCCAAATTTATGAGGGGAATTGAGTGACTCTTAATTTCCTTGTATTTCAGGGTGCTGATTTATTTTTCCGGGCAGTAATCTCGAACATGGAAAAGGTTTATTTGAGCAGGAATCCTACAGCCAAAACCATTCTGGAGCTTGTACGATCTTATGATGGTGATCACATTTGTTATGATCACCTTGCTTTCCGGACATTTGGGGTAAGCACTAGCATAAATTCAGTTATATGTGTTACATTACATAGTGTCAAATCTTGATGTATTGCTTACTGTAAAGATAAGTAATATTTTTATCTGTTACAATTGCAGGTCAATGGTTATGGTATAAAATCACTTTCTGAATTTTTCACTGATTTTGGTTATGTACCTCGCGAACAACTCAGATTTCCAGCTAAAAAGCTTAGAGCACTATGGTTTTCCCCGCCCACCAATGGTGGCTACTCTGGAACTGGTACATATGGACCTTTGCCAAGGATATTCATTTCAGAACTTCTTGTGGATGAGCTGACTACTCAGAGCCAGGTAAATACCTTTCTGTGTCACTTAATTCACTCATTTTTTTGGTGAAATGGATCACAATGAAGAATTGTGCAGTTCATTGATCAATACTTATGCTAAGGGAAGGATTTTGAAATGGATTCACATTTCACAACGAAATTGCATGTTTTTGGGGAAAAGTAGGGGTAACCAAGAAGTCAAATCTCCCATATTGATTACAGTTTTGTTTAGGACTAAAGTAACTCTAAGGATTAAACGATTAAGCATGTTTCGGAAGGTTAAAATTGCTTCCTGGGTTGCCATGCCCTTTTGGATGTTTCTGTGCTTCAGGCGGATGGCAGTGTGGCATGTAGTGGCTAATTGCTGATTAGTCAGGCTAGGGATCTGCTCCGCCTAGGCAGGTTTTATATAGTTTTTATATGCTATTAAGTGATAAGGCTGTTAATCATGTATGCTAGTTTGAAAATCAGACCATAATTCAGAATTTCAGATATGCTGTCAGGCAGGGGATATGATATTGTTATCTGATAATAACTACAGCTAGTATTGCTTTATTTTGATCCTTTAGTCCTTTGCTCTTGCAAATTCCTTTTGGTTACCAAAAAAATTCATCAGATTGTTTGCCTGTACAGGAAATTATACATAAGTACATTAAAACTTCTGGCAATGGAAATAATCATGCTGCTCTTGCAAGTACTTCTGGGGAGCTAACATGGGAGAAGCCCATCTATTCAGATTTCCAGATTTTGTCTAGGTACAAGTTTAATGATTGTCTGAGAACTGAAGCATATGTTGTTAACACATAATTGTTTGAACAAATTAGCTTTTCATTGCAAATGATGGAAGGCAGGAAGTTATCCTTTGTTCATTTCTTTACTGGTGTTTCTGATTTTGTCTTTTGTTTCTTTACTTCATTGGTGTTTTCACTTTCTCACTCTTGTTCTTGGACACCAGGGAAAGTGAATATGCTGCATGGACTCTTGTTAATGGCTATGCACTAAATCATGCCACAGTTGCCACCCATCGCCTAGAATCAGATATCAGAAGTATTAATAAGTTCAACAAATTTGTGGAGGACAATGGCTTCAAGTTAAATTCAGAAGGAGGGATTCTGAAAGGTCAGCTGTTGATATCTGTTCCACCCAGATTATATTTAGTAGCTAGTGTCACCTGATATAGTACCTTTAATTTTTTATGCCCTGTTTGATTACACAAGTTTTGGAAATCTACTTTGCTGGGAGGATTACAGATCACCACATTTTCTGATACTGATACTTTAATTAGTAGTATAGTTTGTTCATGTTGAAGTACCCATGTGCTTCTGGGGAAATAAGTACACATGTATCCAAACTCCAAAGTAGGTCATTAGCTCTTGCGACGTCTTGAAATAATAATAAATTTTTAAGTATGTATCTGGCCCATCTATTCCATGTGTTGTATATGTGTACACATCAAGACTAATGGAGACTGATCTTCCCACAGCCGGAGTTAAGGTATTTAAAAAAATACTTAAGCGTATGCACCTAAGTCATACATTACCATGTTACATTGACCTGAATCATGGGAAAATCAATGTCTTCATTAGTTTTGATGTGTGCATATATACGATGTATGGGCCAGTATTGACCTAGAATAGATTGGCCTGATATGTACTTAACAGCTGATGGTCATACCACCTTCTTTGCAAACATTTAGCATTCGCCTAGAGCTATTTACTATATGATACGCATAGCAGTTCAAAAAACAACAGCTAAGGCACTAACACTCCGGTTGGTGTTCCTCCCACCAACTCGCTCAATATAGCTGCTTCTAATATGACACCAAATTTCTTTGATTATGTAAGAAAAATCCAAAAGGCAGAAAATTGGAGCATTTTTGCTGGAAAACAAACAGTCCGCCTCCCCCCCACCCTGCGAGAAGCTGTACGAGCTTCCCTCTTGATTTGGCTGGTTCTGGACTTTTGAATCCTATTTTTTCTCTCTGTCTCAAACACACAAGAGGACTGCACATCATTATATTAAAAAGAGAAAAAGAAAAAGCAACAGCCCAAGTGGACCAGTGCAATATAAATCAGGAAGAGACGGCAACAGAAAACTCACACACCCAAACACACAAACCCCTGAAGGCCAACTAAAACATTGAATTCATCATCAACAGAGAGAGGAGGTCAGGGAGCAGGCGTATTCCAGGTCTATCACCGGGGTCAAGGCCCTGAGTCGGCTCCTAGGATAAGTGCAGTTGAGAGGCAGTAATCATCACTGTTTATAGGTCCGTAGTCTACAAAGAAAACTGTCAACCTATGGAGTCAGGCATGTACTTGGCCCAGTTTCTACATTTAATATAGTGGCATGCAGCTCTCCTGCAGTCCTGCATGTTGAGAGATAAAAAGAATCAAGACATGCAGCTCTCCTGCAGTCCTATGTTTCTGTTAGATATGTATATATCTAGGGGTTTAATTGTAAATGTACTGACAGCCTTATGGCTATATATATGAAAGTCACCCCTCCCTAATGGGTGTGAGGTGTTCTCCCTATTCGTTTCTACAGTTTCCACAAGGTGTCAGGAGGTGCTGTATTATCTCATCAGCTTGATCACATAATGGGCACTATTCAGGATGATCAAATCCTTGGTGTGCCAACTTGTCAGCTGTCCAGCAGCGATTCAAGGCTAACCAAATGAAAAATTTGCATCTTGGAGGAGCTCAGGATTTCCAAACTTCCTTCCAAGGCTCAAACTCCACCACACCAGTGAAGAAACATCCATAGGTCGATTTGCAAGAAAAATCACTATCCAGCGGTGTTGATCCTCAATTTCAGGATTGAGCCGCACATCACTCACTAAGTCCAAAACGTGGAGGTACTCCGGCAGTGCCTCAGTAGATATACTTTCTGATCTCAAACCCAGCCGTTAGTAGTTAAAGCCTCCTGGACTGTACTCTTATCAGCAAACCGCTTCGGAACCAAAGTCACCAAAGAGGGTGCAAGATCACTTAAAGATTGATCATGTAGCCATCGATCAGTCCAAAAGAGCATTCTCTCGCCATTGCCTACAACAATATCACAGGAGTGCCAAATGTTGCCGGGGTGTTGGGATGCACCTATATCTTGTCCTGACCATGGTTGGTCTGGCTGGGTTTTCTCCAACCATAACCACCCTCATATAAAAAAAAGGGCGTACCCACTGCAGAGAGCTCCCGCTCTGTGCGGGGTATGGGGAAGGGTGTTAGTGGCAAGCCTTACCCTCGCCTGTGCAATGCGAGGAGACCGCGACTCAAACCCGGGACCTTCCGGTCACAGGCGGTAAGACTCTACCGCTTGCACCAGGCCCTCATATGTATGCTTGAATTGTGTATATAGTCCAAAGGATCATTGTCCTTGCGCCCCAAGTTTTTGTATTGGTCTAAAAAAGAAGAGCTAGCAGGAGGACTGTACATGAGGCCCTTTCAAATAATTTGTGGGTCTCTGATATCCAAGGCGCTCTAACTGTGGGAGTCATATCAGAATTTCTATCTCTATGAATTTGATCAAGGATGTGATCTTGCAGCCTGGAGTCACAGATTATCATATCTGGCGTTTATCTTCAAATGGCCAATACTCAGCAAGGTTGGCTTACAAAAATCTCTTCCAGGGAATGAATTCTTTTTGGCCTTATACTAGAATCTGGAGAACCTGGGCTCCAGGAAAATGTAAATTCTTCTTATGGTTTGTAGCTCAGCAGAGCAGACCGTTTGGTAAGAAGAGGGCTTCATCCTGATAGATGTCCTCACTGTGATCAAGCTGAAGAATCTATCAACCACTTGCCCCTGTCTTGTGTTTTTGCAAGAGAATTCTGGTTTAAACTTCTACAAATAGTCGGTCTGCAGTTCCTTGCCCCGCAGATCAATGAGTTCTTTGATGATTGGTGGGATAGAATCAATTTGAATGCTGGGTACCAGTTACAAAAATGCCTCAACTCTCTTGTCATCCTTGGCGCTTGGACCTTGTGGATTCATTGTAATTAGTGTGTGTTTGATGGAGTTTCTCCAAGCTTGGCTAGAGCCTTACTGCTTGCTAGGGAGGAGTTATTTTTTGGGGGTTTGGCCTGGGCTAGAGGTATGTCCTACCTGCTCGCCCTTGTGCCGGTGTAGCGTATTTGCTTTAGTTGGGTTGTTTCATCTTTTGTCACAGGCGAGTCAGATTGTTAGTAGCATGGTTTTGTGGTGTTTGTGTATGTGTTTGTAAGGGCTCTTCCCTTTTTTTCTTCTTAATACAACGATACACAGCTCTCCTGTGTGTTTGAGAAAAAATCGTGTATAAGCATATCTTAAAAATTTACTGCATGAAGTATACAAGTTTTTTTATTGTTATTCCACATATTGTAGAGAAGCTAATTTGCATGTTTTTTTTTTTCTGTGTCTATGTTTATGATCAATAGTCAGTCCTGATGGTCTCCTTCAGCAAAGTTCAACAGTAGCTGATTCATCATTGTTTAAGTTTGCTGATGGAATAACTGAATCTATTCCTCGATCATACATTGAATTTGCTGAACGTCTCCTGCTACCACAGTTCAAAGATTTGCAAGATGAAGAGGTTTGTATAATTTTCTCACCGATTCACACTGCTCTTTTACATGACACTAACATTGAAAAGCATGGCTTAGAACTTTGTATGTCAAATGTTTATGTTTCCTGCTGATAAGTTAACATATGGGATGCTTTACTTTAACCTGCCAGGTTACTATACAAATGGCGTTCTCTTTTGAGACATTAATTTGCCATTATAACTATTATCTGAATATTTAGTTCTGTTACTTAAATAATTTCTCCTAAATATTGCTGATAATCACTTCTATCCTTTGTTCTTTTTCTTTATTGAACTTTTGGGGTGTCCTGTTTACATGTATTAATTATTGTGATTCCCTGAAGATCTCTTATGCTTTATTCAATTGCTCTTTACCTGCATCAGATGTCTTATCTGCTACTCAAAATTCCCCTTTGTAATTTTTGTAGGTGAAAGAATACCACAGGCGTGATGGTTTTGAGGTGGGCAATGCAGACAAGATATTCGAAAGTACATCGAAGGATCAGCTGACACGGAGATCTGCATAAACAGTGAACTCTAGATCTATTGTGCAAATGACCCAATGTGTGCCTCTTGGAAGTGTGTTGGAGGCATGTATTGTGAAGTGATTGTACCTACTTGAGTGAAATAAAACATGAGAATCAATAAAAAGTAACTGTTTTTTATTCTACATCTGTTGAATCCAAAGAGAGAATCAGTTACTGTTTCTGTTCCTTTGGCCCTACAATCTTTCATCATCATTAAATCCATGTCTGGGAACCTAGGTGTTCCAGAATAAACATGGCACCTGCAGTAAGGACTTCACCTACTTCTCCCTTAAAAAAGAACTAACGTGCAGGATGACTAGTTTTGTTTTTGTTAATTTCTGTTGTTTTGTGTTGTGCATCCTAGCACTTATGGTTATTGTATTGGGAATCCTTGGAGCTGTGAAAGCAGGTGGGCTGCCATGCCGGGGTGATGAAACTGTGCACTTATCTTTCAATAAGGTATTCAGTAGGTACTAGGGTACTACTACAGTATAACTTGGCGCAAATCGTCAGAAAGAAGACCCAGCAAAGTTCACAAAAAAGGGCAGCATAGCAATTGACAGATCTTTGTTAGCATATGTTTGGTCTTTCAACTGAATTGACAGGATTTTTCTTTGCAGATGTTTGTCCTCAGCGGGTGTATGGTTTCCTGGCATTCATATATCATTAATTTTATGCCTACTTTGTGACTCATGGTACCAGCTTCTTGAATTGTCATGCCAGGTACATGTTCAGTAACTAGTACCTACTTTCTGGGTTCAATGAAATATGTACAACACTTTCTGAATATGTATAGTTTGATGATTAGTTGCAGTACGTGGTTGTAATATAGTTTATAATCAATAAATACAAAGCATTCAATTTCATTTTCTGTGATAAACCTTTGGATGCAACTAAAAAGTCACCAAACGAAAAGCAGAAAATTAAATTAATGCATGACCCACAAAGCTTTTTAGTCTAGCAAGTTGGGGTCTGTTAAGAAAAATAAAGAAAATGAATCACCCAAAAAGACACCCATTAATTTAGTAGAGTTCTTGATTCTTGGTGCTAGCGAAGAGTCAAAGAAAACCAAAGCAGCAGTCTCAAAACTTCGCATTGATCCATTGGTCCTTGAGATCTCTACGGCGTCCCCAACATTAGGCCGTTTCCTCACTTGAATTTGGTAAAGCAGGTGGCTCGCGTGCAGACATGAACCATGATTCTAGCACCTGGCATGTCGAGAAAAGAAAAGGAAAGAATTCTGGAAGAGGCACTGCTTAAACAAATATGCTAAAAGGTTGCTTTAGTTGTCCGTTGCCCTTCCGCATATATAGTAATCTACCAGCCATTTCTCCTTTGAGGGATCTCTTTTAGCATTATTTCCGTACAATACTGCATTAGGAATATTATTGTATTTTCATATAGCAGAATGTCTGTCCAGTTGCTAAGATATATTTTGCATTAGGGGCTTTGTTGTTGCTTGCAAACATTTCAGACTATTAACATGCTCAATGACCACCAAAGGAGAATTGCTGGCTTTTCATTTCTGGAGAAAAATCGGATCTAATTTCCCTGTTCTACACTATAAAGACCCCCTTTTTTTTTTCTTACTTCACCCAGTTACCCACTGTATTACCCACTGTAAAGAAACTCTTGCCTTATCCATAGCAGCAACTAGCAACCTGTAAAGCTGTCACTGTCCATCTGTTAATTTATCCATGTACTGATGTACAGGCCTACTCAGATACCAGCACTCCCAATGGCTGAAGCCTAAAGGCACTATCCAAATCGTGGTCCAAATCCAACGGTGAGCTCATATAGCATCATGGATTTATATGATCCAAACGTTACATATGCCTTTCAAGCTTTCAGATCATGCATGTACATGTGTGGAGCAATCCGGTTTGCTGACATTTGTGCGCATAACATGGTTGCAAGCTGAGGTTTGTCGCATCCACTTATAACAATTCCAGGTTATCCCGTTCAGGGAGGAGGAAACGCAATGCTTTTGTGAAGCTTCCTTGTGCTTTCTGGTGCAGTTGTGCATGCGAGCTTCTGAAAAGGTGTCAGCTTAGTCCATGTAAGTGAACAAATTCCAGTTGGGCACTATTTTTTTATAACCGTGAAAGAATTTAGGTGCTGCTGATGCAGAATAAAAAAAACTACTCTTAGAACCCTAAAGTAGTGAGCTTAATGCTGAATTACATTTAAGTAATGCAGATGGTACGATTCTCCATTTTTCGCATCCAAAAAGATTGGGACCTAACACCACTGAATTAGCCAAGTTGGTTCTTTGTTTGAAAACGAGTTTAGTTCAAATCATCATCAACAACAACAACAACAAAGTCTTTAAGTCCCAAACAAGTTAGGGTAGGTTAGAGTTAAAATCCAGCAGAAGAAATCAAGGTTCAGGCACGTGAATAGCTATTTTCCGAGCACTCCTATCTAAGGCTAAGTCTTTGGGTATATTTTATCTTTTCAAGTCTCATTTTATTGCCGCTACCCAAGTCAACTTCGATCTTCCTCTGCCTCTCTTCACGTTACTATCATGGCTTAGGATTCCACTACGCACCGGTGCCTTTGGAGGTCTCCGTTGGACATGTCCAAACCATCTTAATCGGTGTTGAACAAGCTTTTCTTCAATTGGTGTTACCCCTAATCTATCACGTATATCATCGTTCTGAACTCGATCCCTTCTTGTATGACCGCAAATCCAGCGCAACATACGTATTTCCACGACACTTATCTGTTGAACATGTCGTCTTTTCGTAGACCAACATTCTGCACCATACAATATAGCAGGTCTAATCGCCGTCCTATAAAACTTGCCTTTTAGCTTCTGTGGTACCCTTTTGTCACATAGGACACCAGATGCTTGACGCCACTTCATCCACCCTGCTTTGATTCTATGGCTAACATCTTCATCAATATCCCCGTCTCTCTGTAGCATTGATCCTAAATATCGAAAGGTATCCTTCCTAGGCACTACTTGACTTTCCAAACTAATATCTTTCTCCTCCTGAGTAGTAGTGCCAAAGTCACATATCATATACTCAGTTTTAGTTCTACTGAGTCTAAAACATTTGGACTCCAAAGTCTCCTACCATAACTTCAGTTTCTGATTCATTCCTGTCCGGCTTTCATCAACTAGCACTACATCGTCCGCGAAAAGCATACACCAATGGATGTCCACTTGTATGTCCCTTGTGACCTCATCCATCACTAAGGCAAACAGATAAGGGCTCAAAGCTGACCCTTGATGTAGTCCTATCCTAATCGGAAAGTCATCCGTGTCTCCGTCACTTGTTCGAACACTAGTCGTAACATTGTTGTACATCGACGTACTTCGTTGGGACTTTATGTTTGTCCAAAGCCCACCACATAACATTCCTTAGTATTCTATCATAAACCTTCTCCAAGTCAATAAAAACTATGTATAAGTCCTTCTTCTCCATATACCGCTCCATACTTGTCTTATTAAGAAAATGGCTTTCATGGTTGATATTCCGGGCATGAAATCAAATTGGTTCATAGAGACCCGCGTTATTGCTTTCAAGCGATGCTCGATAACTTTCTCCCATAACTTCATAGTATGGCTCATTAACTTAATTCTCCGGTAACTAGTACAACTTTAAATATCCCTTTATTCTTGTAAATTGGTACCAATATACTTCTCCACTCGTCAGGCATCTTGTTCGATCGAAAAATATGGTTGAACAGCTTGGTTAGCCATACTATAGCTATATCCCCGATGCATCTTCACACCTCGATTGGGATACCATCCGGTCTCATCGCCTTACCTCCTTTCATCCTTTTCAACGTCTCTCTAACATCAGATTCTTGGATTCTCCGCACAAAGCGCCTATTGGTGTCATCAAAAGAGTCATCCAACTGAAAGGTTGTGTTCGTATTTTCATCATTGAACAATTTGTCAAAATACTCTTGCCATCGATGTCGGATCTCATCCTCCTTCACCAAGAGATGCCCCCTTTCATCCTTAATGTGCTTAACTTGGTTGAAGTCCCTGGTCTTTCTCTCACGAACCCTAGCCATCCTATAAATGTCCTTCTCTCATTCTTTCGTACTCAAATGTTGGTAAAGATCCTCGTACGCTCTACCCTTTGCCACACTTACAACTCGCTTTGCAGTCTTATTTGTCACCTTGTACTTCTCTATATTGTCCACACTCCTGTCATGGTACAAGCGTCTATAGCATTATTTCTTTTTCTTAATAGCCCTTGGACTTCCTTGTTCCACCACTAAGTATCTTTAGCCCCGCCTCCACTTCCTTTAGTTACTCCACACACCTCTGAGGCCACCTTCCGAATGTTGGTTGCCATCTTCTCCCACATGTTGTTTATGCCCTCTTCATCCTTCCAAGAGCCCTATTTGATAACCCTTTCCTTGAATATCTCTGACGTCTCACCTTTCAGTTTACATTACTTTGTTCTTTCAATCTTAGCTTGTTTATCCCTACGGGCACGCACCTGGAAACGAAATTCTGCCACCAAAAGCATATGTTGAGGAACAACACACTCCCCTGATATCACCTTGCAACCCAGTTTGTTCTTTCAATGCAGTCTCCGTCCGCACGCAGTTTAGTTCAAATATCATTGAGAATATAGTTGATTAAAAAACCCCATAGAGTTGATTGATTGGGACTATTTAGATTCGATATTGTAGGCACAAGAATTAGTTGCCATTTTCCACTTTGAAGTTAGCATATACAAAACTTGAGTTTAAAGGGAAAAAAAGCAGTTAACCAAAGTGCAGAATAGGCAGACACTGAGACTCTGAGTCAATCCTAATCCATCACAATGCTCACGATGTCTTAATCTTTAAGATTCTAGAGACATGGTTGCGAGATGGAAAGGTTAAAGTGAAGATTCTGCGTCTCTCGGATAGAAATGCAGAATCAGCTTTGGCGCACTGGCTTCAGGCAATGCAGTCTCCGTCCGCACGCAGTGAGGCGGACAGCAGATGAATTTGGGGGACTTTAGCGGTGCGATTTCCTACCTGTACACTTTACTGATTCTCTGGTCATAGCGTATTTGCACTCCTAGATACAGTAGTAGATTCTCAGCTCCGGCTTTAACCTGTAGGTTTTGCCCCACTGTCTATATTTTAACCAGAACTATTCCCAGGTTGGATAACAACGGGTTAGCCTTTGTTTCCGTTGAAGAATCAATTAAGGCACGAGCGCTAGGATTAAGTGGTGCACCAGGGTCTCCGCAGACTACTGGAGATCTTAATGATGCAACAGTCCCTGGCAATAATATTTGCCACCTACACCTACCATTGCTGGTGACCGGCACGCCCTTTAATTAATTAACTATATATATCATATATAGTAGGTTATACTAGTAAGTAGCACCTAACAAGGACCGACGTGTCTCTTTCTAATCTCGCTCATTTGTAATTTGTTGTGAGTACAGCGTCTTATTTTAGGACAAAATAAGCGGTTGAAGTTGCCAATGGCTACCAATTCTCCAGGAAAAAAAGGAAACTACAGACGACAGTTTCTTTAATTTAGCATTGGATGATTCATGCGTTCCAAACCGTGGATGAATCGGCAGATAGGCGTGCCCATGCCGGCCTTGTCATCAAGAGGTACGCGGCGGCAATGTGATCCTGATCTACCTCCACCTTCAGTTGACGAGACGTCCACTGGTGAATATTTGATTCAGTGACAGGCAGCGGAGACGCCCTC